ATTCGGAAAAAAAAAAATAATAATAAAAATAAAAATAAAGTAGAGAACAATTTTTTGTAAATTTTCAGATAAACGTTAATGGAAATAATCAAAGTTCGAAAATGTTTGGAAACCATAGTTTTTAAATAAATGATATTGTTTACGTAGTCAATCAATTTTTCAACAATTTTCTATAGAAATTTGTGTACGCGTATACTGGTTGATATTAAATATTACGAAGATCGTGTATGCTTTTAATGCTTTTCGATGAAATAATAATGATCTTTAGGAATATTTTCGTTTTACCACACCAAATAAATAATTCATTCAAACGAAACTGTCTTTCGAATGTGTGTGTGTGTGTGTGTGTTATTTGTTTATCATTGATTAAATATGCATTCCTTTTTGCCTTTTTTTCTTTCTTTTTTTGGAATTATCCAAATATTTTCACTACTTAGTTAACGCGTTGCGTATTGTTTTTAAATCATTTCACATGTAAATATATTTTACTTAAATATCGTGCTTACTTTAGCAAGCATTGAAATGATGTTTATTAAAGGTCTTGGGGGAAAATATCGTGTTTGATATTCATTAAAATCTTATCAAATTATCCTGATTTTGAACAAAAAGCAAATGATTTTTGATTACTTATTACAATTAAACTCCTTACTTTACAGAGAGAAGACGTCGTTTTATTTGTCTTTAGCTAGATGATGACGCTTTTTCTCTCTCTTTCTCTCCCTCTCTCTTTCCTAAGAGTCCTCTTCTTCTGTTTTCTAACCTCGTTAAACTTCGATTTACTTGCTGTGCGCTTTAACAAGATAAAAGCAAACCCGAATTTAACGTATTTGCATCAAATCTACGTTAGAGCGTAGTTTACTTTGCGATTTAATGGATATTTCAATGAATTAGAACGCTACTTGATATTAATTCGGAGTGAAACGTATTATTTCATTTTATTCCTTTCAGCTTTTTTTTTTTTATTTTATTTTTGTATATAATAAATAAATTGAATATTCCATTAGCGTTTACTAATAATAATAATTAGCATTTCAACATTCGTTGAAATTGGTGACCTAGAAAAGCAGAATATTTGCATATCTCTGCGTGCACACGTATTTCAAAAATAAAAGACAAGGTGTATTTTAAAAGTGTCAGATTATTTTTCCATCGGAATAAATGGACGTAAATAACAAAACAAAACAAAAAACACCATGGATAATGCAAAATGTATTTTATAATAGTTTGATTAGATTTTCTTTTTACTCTCGTTAAAAACCTTTCTCTCTCTCTCTATATATATATATATATCGTGTCTTATAAGAATTAGTTCCATTTGTTTCGTCTGAGTATGGAAAAACCTTAACGCAAAATGCTGAGAACAGCTGGGTCCGTCATTTCGTGCTTGGGATCAATCGCCACAGAGAATATGATAAGAAACATGATGGACGAGCTGTTATCGGCACGCTCTTCTCGTTGACGGGATGACGATCTCAACGAGAAGATCAAAATTATTGCTTAATAACACTTTAATGAATCTTCAAAAAATTGTCCTTTAAAAAAACACCAATCAATTGATTCATTCGTTGACCCGTTTCTTTTATTTTTACATCTATCATTTTTTTTTTTACAATTTTCGATTACTTTACAGTTCTAATATTTGATATTTGTCTTTAAACATATGAATATATACATATGTATATTGAATGGGTATACAATTTTTCTATTGATTTTATATTAACTTTTCTCGATCGTGTTAAATTTTTAATTGGTCATTCAATTATTACTGTTACTTTATATGAAAAATTTTGCAAAATAATATACTAACTGCAATCTACCAGTTTCGTAAAAATAACATTGAAAAACATTCGAATCTCAATATACATATATACACATACAAACCAATATGTTGTATTTCACTTTTGTATTCACAAAAAAATTAATAACCACTGTTTCATATATCAAGTGAACGTTGCTTAATTAAATTTTTATTTGTAATAAGACGTAAAAAATATTTAAATTTAATAACATCGAAAGAATATGATTGACATATAATATTAATTCGTAATTTTGTTCTTTTAGAAAAAATTGAAATGCATCATTGTGTGTTTCGTAATAATAAGAAGAGGAGAAAGATGTTGTTGGTGGGGTAACCAAATTTAAGATCTCTTCTTTTTCGTAGCAGGTTTCGTTCGAATGTATAATTAATCGGTGTCTACGAAGAGAAAGAGAGAAAGAGAGAGAGAGAGAGAGAGAGAGTAGACAAGACCGACAGAAAAATCGACATCCTATCGCGATGACGGATGGCAGCCGAATCGACTCCCATCCTCGTTCGTTTACGTATACATATAATACATATATACATGCATAAAGGGCGCATATTATATATACATATAGAATCCATACACATAGAATCGCAGGTACGTACCACCAATACGCATAGATATAGCCGAGTTATCTATTAAATATTCAATTATTTCTGTCTTCCGTCTCTGACATTTGGAATTCGCCCAACTGCCCCCGAACCCACCCGTCGTCTCGTTGCAGAGCTTAATCCCTATTCATAGAACCAATCGGGTGATTTCGAACAAATCCTTCGAGCGTTTCCGCTAAATCCGCTGCAATTAAAATACTTTAATATCCTTTGAAGCACGTACCTGCCTCAGGCTTCCTCTCTCTCTCTCTCTCTCTCTCTCTCTCCAACTCACACCAATTCTTTCTATCTCTCTTTCTTCCTTCATAAATTCGTCCTGGTGTTTCCCTCAGTCGCGTCGACGGCCCTCCTCCTACTAACCATCGGCCAGAGAACTTTCCATCGCAGATTCTTTTTGGAACGGTTGCTCTTATTAAACGTCCCAATCGAGATGCCCCGAGGAAGCAGCACGTTCGTTTCCTTTCAAAGCGGTTCTTTGCCGACGCTATCTCGAGAAAATTTCGGGGTCTTCAATTTCTCGGACGGATCGAAGGGAATATGAAGCGTTGAATAAACTCTGGGACGTTCAATCTTCGTGGTAAATGTTTTTCCACTCTTTTCTTTTCTCTCTCTCTCTCTCTGTCTCTCTCTCTTTCTACCATAAACGAACTATTTTTTTTTTTTATATGTTTGCTCGACTTCCTATACCAAAAATCGTGAGGGGCCTGTAGATATGGTTGACCCTTTTATAATGCTTAGATATTGTTCCCTCTTACTACCTAAGGGAATAAAAGAGAGAAAGATATAAATGATATCATGATCATTTGTTCGCTATATATGCTTTTTAAAAAAAAAAAGGGACGTACCTATTGTTATTGCAACGAAATTTAAAATTTATTCGCTTAAACATATATTTCATTATTTTTTTCATTTATTTCACTCATGGATGTAAAAACGACTCTCTCGAGTATCATTTCAAAAGCGGTGTAACCTAATTTTACGAACGTATGCTTATATAATATAAATGAAATGAATTTTCGACGAATATGTCGCGTTGGAATAAAAATTTTATATAAAGTTATACATATATATATATAACCGTGACATTAATTAACGAGAACTTGTAATAAGCGACCGATGCAATGGGAAAAAAAAGGAAGTAATAGAAACGAAAGAAGAAATTCGTAGAGATATGTAAAATCACGATGTAATATTCGTGTCATAAAGCACGTTGTCAGTTCGAACGAAGACAAAAATTTATCACTGTTCGGTCGAACGATTTGTCAGGGATGATACGTTTGGTCTAGGGACATTTCGCGAGAAACGTACGAGAGCGTCAGCTGTGCGAAACCGCCCAAGGGGTAGGAACCCCTATCCACTAGCGAATCGTTGTTCATTCTAAGGCACCATCATATAATGGAACGGTACCAGCGAATTCATAAAGTCCTCCTGTACCGAAAGATTTAAATCTTTTTACTATAGACCATTGTAATAACTATTGTCGAAACTTTTTATTTTTCATTTCTAACTTTTTTATACATTTTTTTTTTCTTTCTCTTTAATACTTTTGATTGATTTTACGTTGCCAATATGTAATACGACTTTTTGAAGTGAAAACTTCCTTAGAATGGGTGTGATTTGAAACAATGTAACGGAGCGGTAGGCGGCTATGTAACGGAGCGGTGACAAACCTATAGATTAATCCTAAGATAGATAAGACAAACATATAAGATTGAGCCTGCGAAAGAATGAGACAGAATATATAAAAGACTTCAGAATTAGAAAAATTTAAGATCCCTCTCTTAAGGATGATATTTTACATGTTTTTTTTTTTTTTTATTAAGAAATCTTATAACATTCTGTATAATAATATAAATAAAATGTATTTATAATTAACGATTGATTGCAAAAATCAATAAAATTGTTGAAATTATTGATTCATAGAATATTCATTTTACTGGGCATATTTGACCTATTATGAGAAGGACTTATTATTAGAAAATAATTAATAAGCACTAGCACGCGATGCATACGAGCCTGATAGATATCAGATAATAAATAATATTTAGCAAAGCCGGTGAAACGTTTCTAAATATTGTACGATATATCGCGTAATATTAATATCAACAGATTTGATTAATTTTATCAAACTACAGATATTCTATTACATTATTAAATAATGATATATTTAATAACATACGCTTTACTATTTTATAGGATTATCGAGAAGCATCAATAGATAATAACGTTAATTCGAATAGAATCGATTCGAGTAGATTATTGAATTGAGTGTTTGTCGGTAAATGATAAGATCGGCAAAACGTTGATCCGAGTAACACTATTTCTGATTGAACGTCGAAAAAAGCGTCGTTAGAGTGTCGTTAGGATTGAAAAGTAAGTTAGGTAGTCTCTTCTTCAAGAGGAATAGCAGACATACTTATAGAGAAAAGAACAAAAAATATCACATTTTTGCATTTATGTGTAAATCTTTGCACCGTGTTTTTTTCTAAATTTTTGCAATGTTAACACAAAGTCTAGTATTAAGATATATATATATATATAGTATTAATTCGTCCCTGTATTGAGAAGATTTTCACTCGTGTTTCAGACAATGGACTACTTCCCGTCGAGCAGAGCGATGACGGATGGTTGAACTTTACAAAAATCACTCGTGCCGAGAGCGGCTGGTACAAATGTTATACTCGACACATGCTCGGGATTTTCACCAGCATCGGTTATTTCCTCAACGTTCGCTGTGAGTAAAACGTTACTGTATCATAGAATTAATCGATCGATCATCAACGCAGCTTGAAATAGGGAAAGGGATGGGGAGAGAGAACCAAAGTCTCGTTAAATGGTTACATCAAGCTCGTCCCCAGTACTCGATGAAACGTGAATATCTATTCACGTTGCAAGCTCATCTCGTCATTTGCATCGTCATTTCACGACTGTACCACCACCACCACCACTACCACCACCACCACCATCGATATACATCGTATGGTCCGTACGCTATCGAAGGAGGAGGAATTATCTATTAACCCCTCGCTAACTACGTCTACTACTACTCGAAATACTTTAATCCTCGAACGTACGGCTCTCGTATTATCGGCTTCTCTTCGCTTATTAGTGACCAGTAAGCTCTCGCGGAGATAGCACAATGTATGGAAAGCAATTCCTAGTGTGTAGCGATAATTGGAGAGGTAGTAAGTTGTCTTCAACGAGATGATTCCAATATATACATATATATATAATGTGCAAATCAGAAATTAACCTCTGAGAAACAGTAGGGAAAGACTAAATTGTTATCCCTTTTTTAATTTGATACCTATCAAATATATATATCGTTACATCGTTTGGATCTTTGAGCTTAGTTATGTGAAGAAAAATCAAAAAATATAACTTACTAAGTGCTTTATAGTATACCTAAATAGGTACACATATCGATGAGTTAACTCGTAAAGAAAAAAATCATCTGAGTTCCTTGATAGATCTTTTAGTATTTCATTTGGTCTCGTAACGAGATTTTATTTCGTATTTTGGCTATTCTAATTCTCAAATAGAGAGATAGATTCTCGCTGATTCGAAATGCGAAGCTAGTCGTCGCGTCGACCGATAACCGGAAACCACAGTCATTTGTCAAGGGTGGAAACCACCGAGCCAACCGGAAATTATCCGTGCCTCGTCGTGAAAATTTGCAAATTTCCTACCTGGTCTCGAATCAGTCTCGTTATAACCAGAACGCGACCCTTGCATCTCAAAGCTCTTCCAACCTTCTCATTCCTCTTTTCTCTCTCTCTCTCTCTCTCTCTCTCTCTCTCTTTCTCTCTTTCAGTCTCTCTCAGTCTCTCATTCTCTAGTTCTATATCCATGGGTAGGTTCCACTCTCGTCTGTGTTTCCTCGGCCGACGATCCGGGATACGGGTTTCCGAGTACCTAATCTCTACGCAATTTGGATGGTTCGCGAGTGCCTGTAAACTAACTACTACTCCACGATGGGAATTATCGATTACATGGATAACTCCGTCCCATACGGATCTCCTCGTGGATTACTTATCCATGGATTACGTTACTATGATACGCGCTTACGGATTAAATTTCGAATCACGTGCGAACTACGACAATAACGTTCACTAAACTAATTACATTTGTTCTAACGACGATTGCATATTTCTTCCTATCATCACTAATTTTACCTCCATGTTCAAATTTTAATTCTCGACAAATTCAACCGTAGTCATTGTCAAAGTATTTCATAGAAAATCGTATTCAACCCTTTCAATTATTTTAGGACTAAATTGAATTTACTTCAATTTTTATTTGTATTTTTTTTTTTTTTTTTATTATCTTCACTAGTATATTTGCCATCATCAAATTCCGTACAAACTGCAAGGACAAACGAGTTGTAAAGGATGAAGGAAACGTAAAAGAAGAATGAAAAGGTGGTAAGTTAGAATACCACCTTCCTATCGTCTCAGCCAGAGTACTTTGATCCCTTTGTTTTGCTATAGGATGAGCCAAAGGATCAGCTTGCTAACTCAAAGGACTCTTTTCCTTCCTCTCGTCGTACTCTTTACACTCCTCACATCCCGGAATAGTATATTTTCTCGTTTTTCTTATTTCATCGTCTCGAGCGAATTCTCAACGTACCAACTTGGTTCTCTAATTCTCAAGTACTGAGAGTTAGAGAGAGAAAGATAGCTAATTTCACTCTGTTCTTCCTGTGGACACAGCGTTAGCTGAAGAGCAAACGATCGTAGTCGTATAATTCCGTAGGTAGAATCGGAAAAGGAGGTGGTGGAGGGGTGGGAAGGGGGGTTCCAGAATCGCGGCCTCATCGTCGTATAGAAAGGATTTCGTTGAACTCGGCACGCGAGAAGGAGGAGAAAGAGGAGGAGGAGGAGATGGAGAAGGAATGGGCAAAACCATTGCTCCGAGTTTATCCTTCGTACGTGCGGTTGGTTCCTGATGCCGAAGGATAGCGTTGATATCGATGAGAATGGAGGTCCGTTGTCGACACTCGACGTGTATTTCACCCTACTGGAATAGGATTTGGACCTTGGCTGCTGTTATGTGAAAGCTTCTTCCTAAGCTTTTCTCCTTCATGGACTCTTCTTTCTTTATTTTTCCTTTTTCTTATTTTCTCCGAACGAGAGAAAGAAGAAAGGTTTTAGAAAATTATTGGAGCGACAAGGAAGGTGCACTCAATATTTTTCATTTTCTACGAGAGTATATTTTCCTTTTATATTGGCGAACCATATTATTACTCGAGGATAGAGTTTTCCATAAGTTAGCCTACTCCATTTTCTAATGCAAATGTTACGTGGTTGGTAGGAAGTATAGGTGAGGTGAGGGGGGAGGAGGTGGGTGGAGGGTACACGTTCTTCGCTGCTCGTCGAGAGATTTAAATCAATGGCATTTAGATGATTCAGATATCGAGACCGAAGCAGAGGCACTGAACGGGGAAGCTACCGATTCGAGGAGGAAGGAGGTGCAGATCGGTGGTGCTGTGACTCTCGAATGTGACGGTGGATGCTGGGGTCACGGACCTGGAATGGATCCAGTGGGTGGACCAGGACGTCTTTTCTTAAACCGAGTCGTCTACCAAGAAGCAGGAGAGTACAGATGCGTTGCTCCTGATCGAAAAATGCAGGACACGTGGCGAGCTCAGTTACCCTATCACATTAAGGTTACCGGTGAGTAACCCTAAATCTTGTTTTCCTTCCATTTTGTTCTATCTTTATTTCTTTTATTTTACAGTTAGATTTTACTTGCTGTTGGTACATATAAAGTTTCTTTGATATACAGCTCGTTTTTCTTTGACATTTCTACGTTGTATTCCAATTTGAATTGTATTATAATATATCGATAGATAAACAAAGCTACTCGCGAAGTTTACCCACGCCTTGTCTCTTGTTGGGAAAACTAATGGAAAGGAAAAAATGTGACACGGTGTAAAGGCCTTTGAGAAAAATATTCTTCTTGTTAGGAACGTCGAAGGTCTCAGGAGTCTTTTCCACGATATCGAATATCTTCTTCCATCTTTCTCTTTTCATCGTGTCATCGTTACTCGTAAGCAACGAACCTGGAGGATACACGTTTCTTCTTCCTTGCTTCCTTCCTTCCGTCCTTCCTTTTTCTTTTTTTCTATTCTTCATTTTGTTCCTTTTTCCTCCCTGTCCTATTTACGCGTCGATGATGGATGCAGAATCCTCCTCGTTCAACATTTCCCTTCGAACCAATCGCCATAGCAATTCCTTCTTCTTCTTATTGATTGCGGCTCAGGCAACTCGTGCGTGTAAGGTGCTGGGCTCGTTCTCGGCCCTAAGCTCGTCCCTAAGCTCCACAGAGAAGATCGAGAGAGCTTTTTACGTTCTTTTCCAACTGAAATGAAAAGACACGACGTTGCTCGTCAAAATTATTTCTTTTTAAGTCCTCTTCTACGGATTATTTCAATATTCCATTTAACCACCAACACTGTAGATCCCTCTCTTACTACTCTCTCTCTCTCTCTCTCTACCATCCCTTTCTATAACCCATAACGTCTTGACTGATCGACAAAATAAAAACACGACAAATTCTATGCTTTTATTCGATTTTTCTCTCGCCACTTTATCTTCCTTCCTTCCTTCCTTCCTTCCTTTTTTTTCGATTTACTTTCCAAACCATTTTCTTATCAATTTTCTTTTTTTTATTTCTTCTTCTTTTTCCCCTCCCAGTTGTCTTTCCTCTTGGATTTGACCAACGAATCGATTGTTTTTCTCTATTGTATCGTATTCCGATATTGTCTATCCCTGTGTTTATATTTTTCTTTAGAAAATATCCAATGAAAGTTAAAATACTTATCGTGCAATACAATTTATAGGATACTTTTACTGTACTAGGTAAACTCACGAAATCGAAGGAAGGAAATCGTTCATCATCGCGTACAGGATCGAAAAAGAGAATTCTATCGGATTTCTATGTGTATGTATTTCTCGTTAATACAAACGACATTATTTTTCCTTTTTCCACGAATGGTAAAATCTTTTTACGCGACGAAAAAAAAAAATCAATATCGTCGTCCCATTTTGTATCGGCACGAGGCTAAACTCGAAGGAAATGCAAATGGGTACTTGACAAAGAAAAAAAAAGAAAGAAAGAAAAAAAAACCCAGGAAAAAAAATAGAAGGATTTTTCAGATAATCCTGGATATTCTTGATTCTATATCGACCCTCTCGACTTAATGTACTTTTCTACGACGTTTATCCGATATCTCTCTATCTCGTTTGAGTCTAATAATTCGTTCGACCTATTCCAACTTCTTTTCAACATTTTTCAACTTGCCAGAACGTACGAACGAACGAACGAACACAAACTAGATCTCCTAGAAGAACTACACAGGAACTAAATATGACGTTACAAAATTGAAATATGATACTATTTGACAATTTCTATAAGCTTTTTCTTGCGGGGTTTTTTTTTTTTTTTTTCTTTTTAATACGACGACCAAATCTTGTGATGGAATCGTAGATATTTTATTCAATTTGTACGTGAATTTCAATCGATATTCTATCATTACGATCGATATTCCAAAGAAATTGCATGTTTAGTTTGTCGAGAGAGAGAGAGAGAGAGAGAGAGAGAATAATGCAAAGAAAAATTGGAAGAAAATGTAAAGAGACTACTATAAAACTGTCGCTTACTGAAATTGTGTTTACTTTTATCGTACGTTTTATTTCGTGCGCGTTATTTTTACAGAATACGAACACATTGTATGTAAAATGAATATGTGTACTTGTGCAACAACTGATAAAATAATATTTAATTATTAATTTCATTTATATATATATATATCTCTGTGTTTGTATAATTATTATAAAAAAAAAATATATACAATGTTTATTACATTTTGTTGCTTAACGATGATAAAAGAAATTGTTTTTGTTGAAAGAAGAATTGTGTATCGACGTTAAAATTAAATGCGCATATTGATGCAAAGATTTGTTTAATCGTTTAACAATAGAATTAATTATGTTCCCACGTTTATTCCGCGTCACGAAACACAATCATGCTTTTACGGGAAATTATAGAATTATTATTATTATTATTATTATCGATAAACACAAATTGAATTGTCAGGATAAGAAGGAAAATAAAAGTATTCCATGTGTTTATCATTTTTTAAAGTAAGGCTTGTTTCGATTATCTACAAACAATTGTTAATTATTTTCAAAGTCCCACCTGTGCGACTTTGTGTAAATCTCAAGAGGGTAACCCAACACCGCTTACTTTCTATTACAAAGAAAGAAAGGAAGGAAGAAAAAGAAAAAAAAAGAAAAAAATCACATTTTACCGAGTCGTCGTATCTCGTTGAATTCATAAGTACGAATTAAACACAGTGGAACCTTTCTTTCGAAACGTCTGCCGTATATATATATAGTATATGTCTCATTTTATTTTATCAAATAAAAATCTTTCATCTCTTATTTATCCACTTGTCGTAATAATTTATAATTAAACGGTAAACACATTATATAATTATACAAAATTATATTTGATTAATTTATCCTTTAGTCTTTCTTATTATTTTTAATTAAATCAACCATTTTATATATTTTATATTGCGAGAAGATAAATTGTTAAATATTATTAATGAAATTTTTCTAGAATTAAAAAAAAAAAAAGAAAAAGAAAAAGGGTATTTTAAGAGTAACGCGATGAATTAAAAGAAGAAGAAGAAGAAGAAGATAAAAAGGGGATAAAAAAAAAAAAAGGGAAGGAAGGAAGGAAGTGGAATCCGAGAGGACACAGTGGGACGTTGGTTCGTTCGTTCGTTCGTTCGAGTCGGGACAGGACTCGTTAAGCCTTCGTTAAATCTTCACGACGTGCTGCTGGACCAAAGCGTATCACATTCTTCCGTCTCTCCCTTTTTTTTTTTTTTCTTCTTCTTCTTCTTCTTCTTCTTTCGTCGACTTCGCGAGCGGATTACGGAACGGCGAACGAACGACGACGGATTCCAAAGTTACACAATAAAACCTCAACGCACACCGTAGTTTTCTCATAAGTGGCTTTTGCCGAGCCATCTTCGCCATCCGGATTTCTTTCGGCATGCTCGATAAAACGCCAGTTACATCGTACGTGCTCCATATAGGTATCGATATCGTCTATTTCGATATACTCGTTATTTTTATCCTTGTACTTTTTTCTTTTCCAGTCGAGTTTAAACAAACCATCTCTCTCTCTCTCTCTCTCTCTGGATTTTCTCCTATCAATTCTTTTTTAATTTGTCATTTGTCAATATGAGAAACTTAGTTTATCACGATTACATTTATATTAATTTATTTCGTAAGTAATTCCAAGTCTAACTTGAAAGGAACAATCTTGTAAAACCTTTCTATCCAATCTTTTTTTTCTTTTTTTTTTCTTCTTCTCTTACACTATGTTAAAACGCATGAATAATTCCGCTGGTGTTTTATCACTTTGTCAAGATGCAAATTAATTTGCCGGCTCGGTACCGGACTCTCGGCCATGCGAACGTTTCATAAAAGGATCGGCTAGGTGTTTGAATGATTTACAAGAGGGATACGCGTAAGGGATCTGCCAAGAACAAAGGCATGATTCCGTGATCAAAGCGTTGGAAAGAAGAAAGAAGGATCCTATCGTTGAGGATACAAGTATACGATTCTTCTTTCACACACACACACACACACACACACCCGTACGAATTAACTCTCATCAGAGAGAAGGCCGATGATAGCTCAAGGCGTGCCGTGAATTTTTTAATAAGTCGAAATTTCACTCGAGCCGTTGTAAACGATAGTGGCACGAAATTAATCGAACGCCAACGAACGAACAACCCTAGATTGGCTTCTACCTTTTTATCTACGTCACGCTGCGAGAATACTCGGATTTCTCGCTTTCGAATTGCGAGAATGGGAGTCGTTTCTTTGCTTTTTTGCTTTTTTACTTTTACTCCCTTCGACGGCTTTTTCGAATTCTTTTATATCCACTCTTTTTATCTTGCAATTCAATTTGACCCCTACCCCCCCCCACACGCCCGCCCGCCCTCTTTTTATATACATTTGCAACATTCTTTCCTTTTTCCAATTAACGTCTTCTAATAACGTTTTTAAATAACGTGAGACCGCAAAAAGAGACTAACAAATGAAACGTGTCTTTTACAGTCTTCTTTGCGACTATTTAAAAAGATCCCCGTGGTATTTCCCCATCGTTGTATTATTTATGTTGTTCTTTTTTTTTTTTTTGCGATCTAACATTCGCATGAAACTGCACGATGTTTTTAAATCGACGAATAACAACTGTTTGAGAAAATTGGCACGTTTCTCTTTCTCTATACCTGTCGAACAGGTCTTTTTATTTGTTCATTTTTTCTAACGATAACAAGGGAAATATACCAGGAATCGGGGGAGGTGAACGCATAAAAGAAAAAGAATATATATATGTGACACTTGCGCTGGGGACATTGTAAAAAGGAAAGCAAAAAAAGAAAAAAAGGAAACGTTTGAAAGGCGAGAGGTGTAGGTAGGGTGAGATTCGAGGAGGAACCGTAAAAAAGTACAACAAATTACAAAAAAAAAAAAAAAAAACACTGGATACACCACGTACACCCATGGGAGACGAAACATTTCTGGCAAAAACGAGTACAGCAAATTGTAGAGGGGAAAACGTAAACGGTAAAACGTCGACCATGCTC